AACTACCAAATTGCCTAAGCTGCTTGCATACCTGACAGCCTACGCTTTTCCGTTGTTGAGAAACGGCTTTTTTTAACTTCAAAACGGAAAACTAAGCAAGCAGCCTGCTTAAGTCTGGAAATGCGAAAACTAATGCGGACGGAATGCACCTCAACGTGCAGATGCCAAAGTGCATGATCTGCACCTAGACGTGCTGAGGCCCAAGTGCATTCTTACCGGGCTAATTTTGTTGTCAAACATGAGGGGGCTATTTCTTTTTTTTCTTCTTTTTTTTTTTTTAAAAGGAAGGGGCTATTTCTGTCCTTCCCCTGTACAAACTTAGAAGAATGCCTGACAAAAGAAAAGAACAGAAAGTCCTTCGGGACATCCGTTAAAATTGGAACGATACAGAGAAGGGTAATTAGCAAATGGCCCCTGCGCAAGGATGACACACATAAATCGACAAATGGTCCAAATTGAAAAAAAAAAACAGAAAAGGAAAAAATACAGAAGAAGAAGAGGCGACAAGCTAACAATCCAAGAAGTCTGGTTGATACCTTTCTCCGCCTTTTGGCTAAAAAATTAAAAATAGATAAACTGCACTGTATCTGTGTTCTGATCAGCTTAATAATATCTGATGCGTGGTCCATCGGGCCACCAAAAAAAAAAAAAAAAAAAAAGAAGTGTGGTTGCATATCTACCAGCATGCCTGCCTTTTTGGCATATGTTTGGATTTAGTGAAACAGAAATGCCGAGGCGGGAGCAAGGGGAGCCAGAGGGAAAGGAGTGTGTGGACAACCTGTATGTCTACTGCAGCTCTCAGTTCAGTTGCTCGATTTTTCTCCGCTTCACTGCTCCATGAGGCATAACACATAATGTTCATACAGCAAACGACAAGCATCAGGTCACACAACGTCAGTTGCCATTGCTTGCCCTGGGGCTGGTATCGAGGCTCCGAGAACGGACATGCCTGCAGTGGACTTCATCCACTGTTAGGTTTACCTCACAGCTTTGGGCCACAAATTCTGTTGAGATGACGGGGAGGTGATCCTTCCTTTCAAGGAAATAATCGATGCTGCCAAAATTAGGATTTTCTCTGTATCAAGAAGGGAAGGTGCAGTGTCCTGGTACAGGGAGGGCTAGGAGTTGTACTGGGATTAGGAGGCCAGAATAGCTGATATAGCATAATCTTATATATATTTTCATACATTTGAATTATCATTCTCATTAGCATCATTATCTATGGTATCATCAGTATCATCATGGTCATCATCATAACCATTTGACGGACGCTGAGCCCGGTTCTCAGCAGCTTTGGTTCGATCACTCCGGGCAGACGGTG